TTTTTACAGTGTAGATTTAAAGGTGCCATAGAATGCATTGATACAATATTTTAAATTGTTCTCTGATGTCCCCAGAGTGTGTATGTGAAGTTTTATCTCAAAATACCCCACAGATAATTTTTTATAGCTTGAGAAGCAATCTTTGCACAACTCCAGCACTGAACTGACCGTCATTTGTGAGGCAGTCTGGTGTAAAATGTTAGCACAAACGTATAGGACTTTTCTGTTTTTTTCCGGAACATTTCCTTCGAAAATGAAATTTAACCACCGTGTCCTCAGCGGTCTATGGAGACCCCTGTGTTCGTTGGTGCATCCCAACACACGACACTTGTAATGGCTCTTTGGCGCTGATATTGTATCTCCAGCAGCTACAGCAAGAAAACAGTAATGCGGACTGCTGCTTCTCACTCAGGGCTGTGTCTATGCTAATAGGGCAGAGATTGTCACAAATGGGCGGGACTTTCCCGAGTATGATGTCATAGTAGTGAGAAACCTGGAACCGCTCCTTTGGAGAGACTGTTTATGATTTATTGCTGTACAGCCCCCCCAAACGTTATGGGCTCCAACTCGGTTAACTTCATTTAGGCCCTATTGTTGATTTTTCGGAAGTAAATAAAGTTACGTGAATCGTGACTATTCACAAGCTGTTTTATTTAGGGTAGGCTATAGGCTAATGCTTGGAATTGTTGTTTAAAGTTTTCAAGTCCTTTCATTAGTTGTAGCACGCATGCCACCCAATAATCGCAGCTTTGTGCTTTGTTACTAAGTCTCAGCCTTCTGTCAATTTTATGATAAAATACAAACAACAAATGTCTTTTTACGCTCTTTAATTTGTAGTGAGATAATTCGCCTCAGTTCAAGCTGCATATGAATCAATTATATTTTCCTCTTTACAATTTGCGGCACATTTCACTCTCTATAGATATATTTTTAATGTCTGTAAGGCAAATATATACACAGAGTTTTGCATTCAAGTTCACAGACCAAGACGTCAGAAAGCGCATCCTGTTTGTTTTCCTTATTTTACAAAAGCACAAGGTTTTGTTGATATTGTGAGTGAACACAAATACAAGTAGACACTTTGCAGTTCCGAATGATGTATACTCTTACCTTTATGAGCAAAAATGACGGCGTATTTTACATTTTCCACTGTTATTAAAAGAAATGCAAGTGATCGCGCTGGCATGTCCAGCAAAGGCCGCTTTAACTTCCAATCTCCGCACAAACGATTGGATATGCGCCTAACAGCGCTAATTTATCTAGGTTAAATGTTTAAATTAATACTGTGAAATGCATGAAGTGTTTTATGTCTGTTTATTTTAGGCAAGTCGTGTTGGTTTGAGAAGACTAAATTGGTCAAACATAATGCTCAACTCACTGTCTGCCGCTGCCGCTTGGTCGTTGCTTTAAAAAACAGAAACTTGAATTTAACAAACATAAAATGTTCCAAACATATTTCTAAATTAACTTTAAAAGAAACAAAAAGAAATATGACCACTTTGCCATTAAAAACCAAAACTGAACTATTTTAATAGCTGTGTAATGGGGAAGAGAGAGCGAGAAAAGAGACACAGGATCCAGTCGGACTCGGGCCGAGAATTCTCATAAAGCTGTTGGACAAGGGCCGGGCCCATGCAGGGCCCATTCGTTCCCTCGTTGCCCCCGAACTGCCCGGGACTATATGCACCTGCATACCCTGCATAGATGCTACGCCACTGATCTTATTTGTTCTTATCTGTTCATAAAAATTTTGTTTAATATAAGCGACTTTGTCATTGTAGCATTGTTGATGTTGTAGATCTGTGTTTTTCATTAAGAGTAATATTGAATCAACCTTAAGAATTAATTTTGTTTCAAGAATAGGAAAGACCCTAACGTTAAAGATCAAGCTAAGCGCTACAGATGTGAGAATGCGAGATT